TGGTAGCTAAGGTAACTTTTTGAAATTCGTGCACGGGGTAGAGCATGAAGTGGTCATCCAATTTTTCCAAAAAACTGGTTACCGGTTAATTTCCATTAAATGTTGCTTCTGGTTTCATCGAAGCGCGCATGGTCTGGACGATGTAACCAAATCCTTCCAGGGCGGCAGCTGGCATTTCTGGATTCTGAGCCGCTTCTGCAGGCAGCACAGGTTCTCTTCTTGAAACTCGGCCATGGTTATTCTTCTTCGTTGGGTGCCACTATCAGGTTCAATGTTCCGTCTAACCTTCTTCGGGAACATGCAAGGACCTGACTCGGAACAGAAAGCTTACTAAAGCTATGTTCAAAACTGTGGGAAGTAAACAGGATACACAAGAAGGGTATACAAAACCCTTTATTTTTCTCTATTTACAATAACTTCCGTACTTCGGAATACACAGACCCGCTACTTGGGGTCTAACGTAAAAATATAAAAATAGAACTAAACTCTAATTTAACTTTAAAATAATAAACGTGGAAGATTGGCCTTATATTAACAGGAAGACGTATGTAGTACAGATAACTGTGAACACTACAATACGTTTAAAATTTATCAAGAGGATCAAAACCTCTAGCCTGGAAGGCAACCAGCAACTGCGTAAAACTTCTAAGGTAAGCGGCCTGCTTCGACTCACTGCTTCCTCTCTCTCGCTTGGCAAAAAACCACAACTTAAGTACTTGGCGTTCGCCAGACAAACTTTGCATAAATACTTTAACGCTTATAATTCTGGCCGGAAGTAGAAAATAAGAAGTGATAGTAAAGATTTAAAATAAAATAAACGTTAGTAAAACTTAAGATCCTTACAAAAGAACACAGTTCAAATAGTATAATTAAAGTATTTATTATTTCGTGTTAAATTTCAAAACTCTTTTGATGAATAAATTGATGTCAAACCTTTTATCTAACAAAATATTTAAATAAATTATGTTCATTTCATGGACAGATTATCATAGTATAGGAGATTCAACTCACTGAGATAAAAAATATCGTAAAATGTTTCGTTACTGAAAGTTCATTGGCCTTTAATAAGAGAGATTTTATTTTAAATAACCTACCATTTTTTCAGGAGTTTCAAATTTATACAGCAAGCGAACACACGATTTTATTATTATAAACATTTCTACTAATGAACTGAGATATTAGGTATGGAGGTCTTGCAATGAAGATCTGCAATGTTAGATCTTGCAATGTAGATCAGCATAGCAAGCGATCCAGAAGGGCAAATGTCAACTCAGTCATCAGATCATTGAGCTCACAAACAAAATCATTGCTGCCCAAAGATCCCGCATCTTACAATGGATACCGGCTCATGTAAATATTTTTGGTAATGAGAAGGCCGATGAGCTTGCAAAGGCATTCCGTGATTTTCCTCAGCCATCCAACTGCCTAACCCTCGTTGATGCCAACGCAGTTGCCAGCCAAAGACTAATCGGTCAAGTTAAAGGAAACTCCATCCCGGAATTGAACTGTGACAGAGTCATATCGACTATCATAACCATACTTAGGACAAATCACTTAAAAGGGATGAGGATTCCTGCAGATGGACAACGTAGTTACACCAACATTTGTACTCATTGCCCAGATGACATCCCACTGTCTCGCCCTCACATCTTCAGCTGCCCAGCAATCCAGGCCAGACTGTTTAACATCGTCATTGAAGACCCAGGGGACCTACTTTATACTGATAGAGCTGCCGAGGTTGCAAAAGCTGTCTTTGACAGCTTCGAAGCTATTTAATTGCACTTTGTCATAGACACGACATCATCATCATTAGGTATGGAACACATAAAATATCTGAATATCTTATATATATATAATTCTATTCAAATACTGATTTGTACCGATTTTGAGTGTACAGAGTATTTTTCCTCTCTAAGGTTATCATAATGAATTATTTATTCAACAATTAAATCACATATATTTTTAGCAAGGGTTTTTAAATATATCAGCTGTAGAAGTATTTCGTAATATAGACTGCAGTTCTTTGAAATCGATACTAGATATCTGATACTAGGTATAGTAACCTTAAACGTTTATTATATGTGGGATGGCATCGTTCATTATAATCGGATGACGCGACAAGCTGTGAGGATAAATCTTTTTCTCTCTCGATGATGAAAGTCAGACGATTCCGCCATTAAGACGATGACGCGATTAAAAGATGTTTGAATGTAAAAGACGATTCTTTCTCTTCATCTGTAAATAATCTCATCTATTTCCTTCTACGTATGTAATTATTTTGTAGTTTGTTGCAACTATTCATGTTTCATTAAATATTCAAGTTTTACATAAATAAGACTAGTTTATTAGCCCCTAGACAGCCACCTAAGAAGTAAGTTTACAGACATCATATTCCTAGACAGTGAGTACCGATTCTACATATATGCAGATTATTAAAGAGAATTGTGGCTAAATTAACATCCTATTTATAATGTAAATAATGGAAGTACCCGATGCCAGTTAAGTTAGATTGAGAGTAATGCATCTAACAGAGATACCGATACCGCTGTAATCCTTCTCTAATAAAGAAGCAAAAAAATACGATTCATAGTCATATTTTTCAGTCTGATGCGATATGGAACCCGCATAAAAAATGTCTATAGGCAAAGTAAACTAATTCTCTCTCATTATCAACAACAATGCTACACAGTTTTTAATGATTTTAGTCTTCTAATCAAATGGTCAGAAAGGCTCAAATTCCACCCAATATTCACCTATATTCAATTTTAGTTGATTAAATGTGGCAAAAAGAACATTATTGATCAGAAATCAAGGACGCGAACAAACAAACAGACATTCTTCGATATATGTATAGCTTTCGTAAAATCTACAAATCTTTGATTAACAAACTCTACGATTTAAAAACGAGCAGTAGCAACACTTTTCGAAATATAGCATTTTTTTATCCCCAACGCGCGACACTGTTGCCACTCGGAAAAAATGAGTGAGAAAATTAGCGCTATCAGAGTTTTTAATTAATGTTTCGGCTGCTTAAAGTCGTACGAAGATGGGAATAACCGAAATGGCTTCCCACGAATTTTTCGAATCGGGCATATTGTACTTAATGTTTGGCAATGCTATTTTTATTTCAAAATGCAATGCTATATTTATTAACAAAATCTAGGATTTGAAAGCCAGCAGTGTTAACTTTCGAAATAAAGCAGATTTTCATTTCCAGCTTGCGAGACTGTTGCCACTTTGAGGAATGAAGGCGAAAATTATCATTTTTTCGGGTTTTTATTTAATATTTTTGTTTTTAACTTTTTTTTTTTTTGAAAAAAGTGGGCATCGACCTTTTCTAAGACCCAGAAAAGAATTGTAGAACGTTTGATGACGATGGCTATAGTAGTAACTGACTTATTAGAGGAAAAACACACAGACGCTCTTCTTTATATATGTATAAATAACATGCATTCAGATTTCCGCTACATAAACTCATTGCAAGGGAAAATTATATAACGATGAAATGATACAGGTTTAAGGACATATAAACATAAATAGAAAGCAGATATTCTTTATAATTCATTATTTTAATGAAAAATTTGAATTTTTGAATAAACAGGAGAACTCGAGCCTGTGAAAATATTAGTATAATAAAATATTTTATCAATATTTGCTTAAAATAATGTACTAGAAATCAAGTGAAGTTAAATGAAATTTTGAATAAAGTACTATGAGCTCGTTTGAATCCTTTCATCTGCCATGTGCGCTCTTTCGCCCAACTGTAATAATATGAAGACTAAAACTGTGCCTAATTGTAATAATAATGAAGACTAAAATTTTTAAATAAGTTTAAGAGCAAGAAAACCTTGAGAAATTAAATCTAGCAAACATTTCATGAAATTAATTCATTTTATTTTCAATAAGTTTCTAGAATTTGTAGTGCAAGTTTCATAAGTTTCTCTTAACTTTCATTTAGGAACAAATCCAGTGAGTTTCTATTTATTTAAAATTTATAGTAAATTTAGTACATAATTCTTAACCTATTGTGAATTTTCTTTTCCGGAGTCTATGGCAATTTAATACAGAAATGTATTAAAAAACGTTGCTTTAGAATGCCCCTTTACTCTGCTTTCAAGAAAATGTATTATTAGTCCAGGCTTTGTCCCTGAAGGACTATTGTTTTCGTTTTGAGATTTTGCGTTGAATCACTATAAATGTCCGTTTCACTTTTCAAACTTTGCCACCAAATGTTAGAGTACTGCATTATATTTCAAGAAATTAAATAATGAAAAATCTGCATAATGGTATGTCTATTTCTCGCATTGTGATAAAACAACGATACATACAGCCATCAAATTTTGAATGACGTAATCATCCTACGAATATGGGCATTTGGAAGCCCAAATTTGAAATTTGGAATTTGTTTTATGATCGATTTCATATTTTGTAAAATTTTAACGAATTTTTGAATTTTTGAATTTTTTTAAAACAAACTCAACGATTTAAAAGCGAGAAATGGCAACACTCTACGGGCGAAAAAAAAAAACAAAAACGTTTTATCTCCAGCGCGCGGAGCTGTGTATCGGAAATTCTAAAGATAGGCTCATTTTAAAATTATTTTGCGACGTTGCTATTGAACTGAAATTTATGATTTAAGTGCGAAGAAATGATATTTAATAAATAAAGATAACACACAAAGCGTTAAAAAACGCCCTTATGGACGTAATTTAAAATCTGAAACCTTTCAGAATTTTTTTTTATATTTTAAATTTACAACTCTTAAAAAGATTGCCCTCTAAAACTCCGCGGCATGCGGAAATATAACAAACGCAAAAAGAGCTTGATATTAATCTCAGGCAAGATTTACACACAGGCTTAATCATAAACATGTAATCTTACATGAAATTCGAAGTGGTATTTTCGTGTAGGTGGGATGATATTGCTTTCTTGAGTGCGTAACTGTTAGCGAGGTAAGATATTAAACTTCTCTTCGTCTACAAAAGTAGATGTGTACTCACTTAGCCTCGAGGACAAGAGCAATAACCCCGGCCGCCAAGGGAGCAGCTGCTGAAGTCCCAGTGTGATGAACGGTGCACTTATTGTGGAGATCTGTGGTTGCCTGAAAGATTAAAAGAAAGTTATTAAGGGTAAAATGAGGTAAATGGTAATTTAGTAGACTACATTCGCTATCTGACGTTGCGAAGAGGTTGGATAAACACTTTCATTAGTACCAAGGGTAATAAATTTCAGCAAATGAAAACAAAGTTGCATCTAAACAAATGATATATTTTATTATAAAATTGAATTGCTAGCTCATAATCCAATTCATCCCTTTTTTTTGCATTTATGCTTTTGTTTATTACATCGCAGTTTATTTGATGCTTGCTCAGTCACTAGATTTTTATGTAGCCATGACTGTTTATTAGCTTTGAGATGTGGATAAACATGCTTCTATTTGGTAGTGGAAAATACTAATTTTTCAGTTCTTAGTGTTTTCTCACGTGATGTTAAGAGTAAAGGAGCATTATAACAGTATAACAGTAAAGGAAAATTCTTAAAGGGAGATTTTTCTTGTTACTTAAAAGTAGTTCCCATTATCTGCTTTCCAGCATGTCTTCACGCACATGGTAAGATCCTGTTTGTATTACTAAAACTAACAACTATTAAACGTACCATTACTATTTATTAATAGTAAATTATGTTTAGTGAAGTGAATAAATAATAATTCAATTACAACTGATAATTTATTTATGCAAAGTAAGTTAAATTTAAATAAAAAAAATTTGTGTTTTCAGGTTTATCTGATGTTATCTTTGCAAGATTTGTTAACAAGTGGTTGCTTCTATATTGATGTAGTTTTAATGTAATTCATAAGATACGGTGAAATCAAAGCAATAAGTTTTAAAAAACTGGATGTCTGATTTTTGTTTTAATGTTTATACTTAAAGCTGCTTATATAGCTAATATTTATTAATGATAAGCTTTTCTTTAGAGTGGATTCAAATGAAAAGGCTGATTAGACAAAAAAGAATTCTCTTCTGTAAGAGAAATGTTATTTAACCAATGATGTCCAAAAAATAAGATGCAGAATGATAGCACTTCTAGGATTGGGGGGGGGACTGAATTTAACGTCCGTAACTGAAAACTCGCGAATTATATTGAAAGGAAAAAGCTGCGTTTTAACTGAAAGGAATGTCAATTAAATCTTATTTTGAAAGAAGGTTTCATTATTAGATTAAATTCCAATTTACTTAAAACTAAACACATCTATCTTTTTAAGTCTGCAAGACGAATTTCGTTACGATTTCTCTACTACACACTCCGAAGGCTACACAAAAGTAGCATAAAATCAAACAACTGAAATTTATTATGTGCTCTGCTTCAAATACACAATAGCTAAACATAAATTTATTTCCACTGTTTGCAGCATTAACGAACAACATATAAAATCGAACTATATACAGTCACCATCTAAATTCTAGCCTAACACCTGGTTCGATAAATTTCACGGACTAAATGCCTAAGATGCAACAGCCAAAAAGTGGTACGCATCACATCAGAGTTTTCTCACTCACCAGAACTACAAACAGGGGAGTTTATGTTAAAGTTGCACCCAGTATAAATTCTATTTCCTTAATTTAGATTTTTATTATATTTAAAACTTCTCTCATTTTCATATTTTGGTGGAGGCAGATGAAATAGTAATAATATAGAACTGATTTGAACGTAAGTTCAAATGTGTTAAATAAACTGAACCTTACATCTTTTCAAGAAAATATTCTTGAAGTCCACGTTTAGTGAGACTAAACCAATGATGCTGCATAGAATAATGTTTTACAGAAGGAGGTAGATCTGTTACTTGTCTCTAGAAAACCACTGATTTCTTTCAGTGTAGACGAAAGCAAAATGCCGGTTGTATTTTTCGCTGTTATTAATACTCTGTTTTTCTAAACATTTTATAATTTAATTTATTCAATTAATTAATTTTGATTATTTAAAAATAATCGAATTAAAAACAAAAGCTTTACGTAATTTTTATATGCCTGTGCCAAATTAAAATGCATTTCTAAACCAATTCTAAACTAAAATAACTATATATATATTAAAATATACTATGGCAAATATAATTAACCTCTTAAAAGAAATATAAATAAAAAACAAAATTCAAAAATTAAACACAATTCTCTGAGTCCAATGCATTAAGAACTGCAGGCCGAATTGTGTTTACATTGTATTCCTTCTTTATTTTAAATAAAATGTAAAGTATGCTCCAAATGATGCTTCTATTGTCACATGTTTGTATCTGTAATCGCCTTTTTATTTGAACATTTAAAAATGTAAGGTAATTTTTTCTTTGTTTGTATTGAAATAATAATTTTGTATTTATTATGCAAATTCTAATAAAATCATAAAGAAAAAAATCTTAAAATTTCATTAAATTTTGCAAAATAGGATCAAATGGTTTTAAAAACCGCCTCTGCAATTTAAAAATAAGATAAAATATCCTTATTAAATTTTTATCCATACTGAATTCAAACATTTAAAAAGCGTTTCTAAATATCACTAGCTATCGAAGTTGTTACCAGTTACCAGAAGCAGTATCCTTATCCTCTCAACGTCTACGTTATTAAGTTTCGATTTAGTTTTCTATGAACGACATTACAACACTTACCTTGCGAACCTAAGTTAATTTGAATCATAGAATGTTTTTATTTCTCTTATTGTGTTATTTTTCTAATACATTTAAGAACAAACATCTATTATTTCTTTTCCAGTATGCAAAATAAAAAAAAATTATAGTAAATGCAACTAATTCTTAACCTCAGTTTCATACTTTAGGACAATTTATATTCAACACTGCTACAGATAATAGGACAAAATGAGAATAGTGTGTTAAAATATTAAAAATTCGGAATAATTAAATCTTTTGAATGAAGATGCAGTTACAAGATTCTCAAAGACTGAGGACTGTGAAAGTAATTAAATTGAAGCCCTGGTAAGGTTGAAATGTCCGGTAAAGCTTCAAATGCAAATATTATGATAAAGTAGCTATATATGTTTCTGCAGAATCTAAAATAGTATTATTCTATTTATCGTTTTTACTTCCTTGTACGAAGTAAAAAGGAAGTATTGTAATCGCGAAAAGTTTCAGGCAGCATATTTCAACGAAACTATCCATTTTTAACCCCTTTCGAATGCAATTTAACGATGTTTTTGCGTGATATCTGTAAGTAAGGACAGAATAAAAGACTCTTTTCCTCCAAAAAAAAATATAAAATTGCTTTAAAATGAATTCTGAAGAGAATGTTTCGTGTACGTACGTACATACGTTCGTACAGACGTACGTACGTACGTATCTCGCATAACTCAAAAACGAGTAGCCTCAGAACGTTGAAATTTTGTATATAGGACTATTATAACATGTAGATGTGCACCTAGTATTTTGGTTGCATTCGGCCGCGCCAAACTTATATAAATATATTTATATACACTCATGTCCATAAATTAAGGATAATTCGGAGTCACGCGGAAATCGCACTCTAAAATAAATATATCACCTGTAAAATCACTACACACATCTTCAAGAATCATATGCAAATTTCAGGAAGTAACCAGATGACACCGATGGTACGTCAGAATGACGAGAGTGTAAGAGAGTGATATATAAGGAATACAGGTAAGGAAGTAAAATTGTTCGCAGGCGCTTTATAAGCATTTCAGTGCAATAACAAAATAGTTATGACACAAAGGACGCATTTGGATGATTTTTTACGTGGTAGAATTATCGGCCGTGTGGAATGTGGGCGTACCCAACTGGAAGTATCAGACGAACTTGGAATTGCCCAGAGTGTCATCTCCAGGCTTTGGCAATGATTCCAAGATGATGGTAATGTGAGTAGATGTTACAGCACAGGTCGGCCCAGAGTTACAATGCCGAATGAGGACCGGTATTTGGCAGTCACTGCCAAAAGAAACAGGCGGAGCACAGCCTCAGACGTGTCTCGTCAGTTCTCTTCAGCCCCTGGTACGACAATTTCAAGGCAGACCGTGTAGAGACGCTTAAGGCAGATTGGTCTATATGCTAGTAGACCTGTCAGATGCGTTCCACTTACTGCACCTCACTGTCGCCTGCGGTTAGCCTGGAGTAGAGAGCATTCATTGTGGACACCGCAACAGTGGGCTTGTGTGATGTTTTCCGACGAGTCCAGGTTTAGCTTGCAGTCTGATTCTCGCCGGACTTTCATATGGAGAGCTCCAGGTACCCGTACTACCATCATCGAACGACACCGTTACGGTGGTGCAGGAGTGCTCGTTTGGGGTGGAATTATTTTGGGTTACAGAACTGACCTGCATGTTCAAATTGGAACCATGACAAGCCAAATCTATCGGGACGTCATTCTGGAACAATATGTACGTTTGTTTCGGGGCGCCATGGGCGCACATTTTGTGTTTATGGATGACAACGCCCGCCCTCACCGTGCAAACATCGTAAGCGAATGCCTTCATTCGGAGGATATCACCCGTATGTACTGGCCAGCATTCTCACCGGACTTGAATCCAGTAGATCACGTGTGGGACATGTTTGGCCAATGAGTTGCAACCCGTCAACCTCCTCCTGCATGTCTACCGGAACTTCAGAGAGCATTTTTTTTTTTTTTTTGAGTGGTGTAATATCCCCCAAGATCAGATTGATAATTTGATACTCGGCATGCCTAGGCGTTGTACGGACTGTATTGTATCGTCTGGGAGACATACAATGTATTAACAATCATACCAGCCATGTAATATTCGATTTTTTTTGTAAATAGTTGTTTTTTGCAATTTGCTCCAGGGAGAAAAAATCGCTAATTTTTTTAATAATATCAAACATATAGCAGCTTTTTTTTGCTCTTTACCTTTTGTTTAAAAAATGAGCTTTACAAATAAGTCAAATTTGTTTTGCTTCTAACTCCGGTGAGCCTGATTTTGCATTATCCTTAATTTATGGACATGAGTGTATATATCCACTCTATTACCAGGCTCAGTGATCTCAGTTTCTTTACTCTTATATGTTTGTAAATTGTACATTTTTTGCTTTAAAAATGATTGAATTATGTTGTTCTTATCTTCCGGTTAAGG